CAGCTCTTTTTCTTCATGGAAAACAAACTAAGTGTGAGATCTATCTGTTAGCCGTTGTGATTGTATGATCTGTAGGTGAGCTAGCTTTTGCTTTTACGGACACCAGCAATACACTCTTGTTTGTCGCTTGACTGACTTTGTCTGGTTTGCAGATACTGCATGAAGGAGATGAGCTTGATGCTTTGTCGTTTTGGTGTTGTGGGCCTTTGGGCCTCCACACCAAATTTGGTTTCTGTATGGGCTTGGGCTCATTGTCAATAGCCTCCCTCAAACTCTGCGTGGGGGGGGAGAGGGGGAAGACATACGTCGAGTTTGCCTCGAAGACATCGAAATGACTCTTGAGGTAGAGATTTAGTGAAGATGTCAACGATTTGAACCTTGTTCGAGATGTGTTTCACCTCCGAAGCCCCAAGCGCTACCTGTTCGCACACATAATGGTGATCTCTGGTTAAGTGCTTGGTCTTGGAGTGAAAAGAGGGATTTTCTGCAAGCATCACCGCGGAGAGGTTATCACACAGCAAGACGGGAGTGGCTGACAATGGAATTTCAATTTCCTTCAGAATCAGACATAACAAGGTGAGTTCCGAAGCTGTTTCCCGAGAGTGATCTATATTCAGCTTCTGTAGAGTTTTTAGAGACTTTAGGTTGCTTCTTCGATGACCAGGAGATAAGATTGGATCCCAAGTAGGTAGCAAACCCACCAGTAGAGCGACTTGTCGTAGCACAGCCTCCCTAATCACTGTCACTGAAGGTCTTGACGATAAAGTCTGTGTTTCTGTTGAAAGAGATACCCATAGTCACTGTCCCTTTTATGTACCGTAGGATACGTTTTAGGAGTTTGTAGTCACTGACTAATGGAGCATGCATTTTCTGATGAACAAAGTTGACAGTAAATTGTATATCAGGCCTTGTAAGGGTTAGTATTGGAGTTTACCCGCTAGGCTCCTAAAGAAGGTGGGATTCGGAAATGCTTCTTCTTTCTATGATTTTCTGTTGATATCAAGAGGAAGAGGTGTAGGCATTGGAGCACAGCCTGACATAGATGCCACTGGTAGAAGGTCTTCTGCATACTTTTGTTGAGATGGGGATAGACCAGTGGCGTGATATTGTACTTGAATACCGAGGAAGTAGCTTAAGTTTCCCAAATCTTTCATTCTGAAATTCTTGTTGAGAGCTTTCAGTAGATCTTGTAGAAGTTCAGAGCTGTTTCTGGTAATGAGCATGTCGTCTACATAGAGCAAAAGAATAATGATATTTTTTCCTTTGATGCAGACAAACATAGAGGGATCATGAAGACTGCAGATGTAGGCGAACTCAAGCAAGAAGGTGCTGAATTTATCAAACCAGGCTTTTGGAGCATGCTTGAGCCCATAGATGGCTTTGCGGAGCAAGCAGATGTGATTAGGAAAGTCTTTGTCCACGAATCCTGCATTGCTTCATGTACACTATTTCATTAGGATTCCCGTGCAGAAATGCGTTTTTAATATCAAACTGCATGATGTCCCATTGTAGGACTGTAGCCATGTGAAGAACAACTCTGATTGTAGAAGTTCTGACCACTGGGCTGAAGGTGTCAAGGTAGTCTATTCCCTCAGCTTGTTCATATCTTTTTGCAACTAATCATGATCTTCTGCAGTTAAGCGTGCCATTTTCATTTAGCTTAGTTATGAAAACCCATTTGCATCCCAATACATGCATTCCATCTTCATACGGTACAATCCAAGTGCCAGTTTCACGACAGTTGTCAATTTTGTATGTCATCGGCTCATGCCATTGCTTATATTTTAGTGCTTCAGTAACCGTCTTAGGTTCAGGATATGAAACCTTAGATGTCATAAGAACATAGCGTGGGTTGGGTTTTCTTATACCAGCTTTAGACCATGTAGTCATAGGATGAGTGGAGACTGGTGCAGCTTCGGTTTCAGTTACATGTGTAGGAGCAGACTCGAGAATTTCAGGAACAAACTGACATGGAGGGCTTGAAACAGCGGCTGCAGACGAGGTAATTGACGACGAGGAGCCAGCTGATCTTCCCAAAGGTGGAAAATCTTGGTCAGTGAATAGAGGTAAAGTTTGTACTGACACAATAGTAGGTTGCTAAGTACTGTGAGGTTCTGGGGGTTGAGGTTTCTCTGGTGGTGTAGGTTGTGGAGTTGGAAAGCTTTTATGCCACACAGTCATCAAAGGAGTGGTGGTTTGCTGAAGAAGATGACTATATTTATCAGCAAAAGGATAGCTGTCTTCATCAAAAATGACATGACGAGAGATGTAGACTCTTCCAGTTGGAGGGAAGAGACATCTGTATCCTTTGTACAGAGCATTGTAACCCAAGAATACGTAAGGTGAGGATCTTGGATCAAATTTATTCGATGTATAGTCTCTTAAGATTGGATAGCAAGCACATCCAAAAGCTCAGAGAGCTGAGCAATCTGGTGCTTTCCCATGCAGTTTTTGATGAGGGCTGATGTCTTGAGTTTTCAGAGAGGATGAAGGTAGCAGATTGATGAGATAATTAGCCGTGAAGAATGACTCAACCCAGTATTGATGCGGAAGCTTGCTATCAAAGAGCATGGAGAGAGCCAGTTCCGTGACATGTCTGTTTTCCTCTCAGCAATTCCATTTTGCTGAGGGGTATGAGGACATGAGACATGCTGTGCAATACCATGCTATTGAAGATGATCTAGAAACTTGGAGCTTAAGAACTCTCCTCCACCATCACACTGAAAGGTACCAATCTTGCATCTCAACTGGTTTTCGACAAGATTTTGGAATTTGCAGAAAATAAGATAGAAGTCTGATTTATTCTTTAAAGGGTAGAACCAACAGAATCTTGACCAATGGTCTATGAAGATTACATAGTATCTAAAACTCTGACCAGACATTATTGGTGCAGGACCCCATAGATCACAGTGAACACGTTCAAGAGGTCTTGATGCAGAAAAACTAGAAGCAGAAAAAGGTAATCTATTGCTTTTCCCAAGTTGACAAGCCTCGCATATCTTCTTGGTACTTCGACTTATTGAGATTGATTTTGAAGCAGGAAGCTAATGAACAACTTGATAATTTGCATGCCCCAGCCGCCTATGCCAAACATCATCCGGTGCTGAACGTTGTCTAGAGGAGATCAAGGTGCAAGCTGAAGTTCTTAGTTCCATACGGTAAAGACCATTAATGTTTCTTCCCCTTATCAGCAACCTCTTTGTGTGCTTGTCCTTAACACGTACCCCATTATCATCAAATTTAAAAGAACATGGATAATCTTTTGTAGCTTTTGAAACAAAAAGCAAGGACTTGGCTATACCGGGACACACTAAAACATCAGTGAGGGGAAGTTTACCCGAGGTTGTAGCGATAGAGGAAGTGCCGGTGTGGGTTATCGGGAGGAAGTTGCTGTCACCAACCATAACTGTGTCAGAGCCATAATATGGCTGAAACTGTTGCAGATGATGAGGTGAGCTGGTAACGTGTGCATTAGCTCCACTGTCTGAGTACCATTCGAGGCCTGCTGCATCAGTAACATCTGTGATTTGTAGTGTAGATAGAGCACGAGGCACGTCTTCCTGTTGGTATCTATGGTCAAACCGATGCCAACACTTTAGTGCAGGATGTCCAGGTTTACCGCAAATCTGACACACAGTGCGAGCTTCAGAATCGGAGCCTTGTGATGAAGGGATCTGCTGATGAAAACCTCTCCCACGAGTTGAGTAGGAGGAGCCACGACCACGCGAACCTCCTCTGCCCCTGTTTCCTCGTCCTCGTGAATTGTAGTAAGCTTGATTGACATGAAAAGCCATGTGAGGAGAAACGTTGGACCCAGTCGTGTAACTCTGAAGACGGTCATCAAAGCTGGTAAGCTTGGGAATGACATCTTCAAAGGTTGGTGAAGGAGATGAGTCCATAGCGTTCTCTATGGTAGTCTTGATAGGCTCGTAGTCACGACCGAGACCTCTTAGAGCGCAGAAAATCTTCATGGTTTCTGACCGAGGGCTTCCTATGGAGGAAAGCTGGTCACTGAGAGTTTGGATCTCCTGAAGGTAGACCGCCATAGTTTTGTCTGTTTTGGAGACTGTTTGAAGCTTGTGTTTCAGTTCAAACAGACGGGAGTTGGTTGATCTGTTGAAGTGTTTCTCTAAAGCCTGCCAGATCTCGCATGATGTAGAACAGTTGAAAACGAGACAATGGAGTTGGTCCGTCAGAGAGCCAAGAAGCCATGATTGAACCACTTGGTCTGTCTGAAACCAGAGCTCGTGGTCTGGGTTCACAACTGGAGTGGAAGTACCGTCCATGGCTGGGGCCATGAGAGTGGCGTCTGGTTGAGAGATGGAACCGGTGACAAAGCCATAGAGTGCAACACATTTAGTTTTGGTGCTGTGTAAGGTTCTAGATCCATAGTCTAAGAGCCGACTGCATCTCTGATACCATAAAGGCAATCTCAAAACAACAGAGATTCTATGTTCAAAGAGCTTACTGAACTTTTTTTTTTTTTTTGTAACACAAAGAGCTTATTGAACTGAAATGGAAATAGCTGTAAGAAGCTTTATTATGTAGAAATGTAAAGTGAAGAGATGAAGCTTAAGTTTGTCACCAAGAATCTAAAATAGTTTGATTAATCTCATAAAAGAATTTGAAGGAGGCTGCAACTATAGCAGCCAAAGTTACCTTGACACAATGATACTTGACATATTTATAACAAATCTAACTTTCTAGAAACCCTAAATACATAGGCTAACAGTCTTGGTTGTCCCTCTTGGGCTTGGGCTCTTATAAACTTCACTAGAACTAGCTCGTATCGATCAAACCGAGACAATCTCCTCTCCACTCTCCGCAACTGTTCCTCCCTGGAAAGCTATTCCAACGTCACGGTCGGTCCTAGCCCAAACACAGTCTATGGCATGTTCCTTTGCAGAGGAGACATCAGCAGAAAATCTTGTTCAAATTGTATCCATGCCGCAACGTTAATCGTCACCAAAACTTGCAAAACAAAGGAGCTTCCATATTCTATGACGAGTGTATAGTTCAATACTCAAACTTTTCTTTCTTCACACTCTTACAGTATGCACCTGCTATTCGTAGATACTCTCCATCCAGTTATTTGGGTCCTTCTGAATTTTTCAATCAAACTGTTCCTGGAAAAATATACGAGATTATCCTCAGAGCATTCTCGTCTTCTTTGTCGTCACCAATTCCATATTTTGAGGATCGCGAAAATGTGACTCAGTTGAAAGGGTCGTATGATTTAGAAGCACTGGTCTAGTGTAGTCCTGATCTTGATCCAAGAAACTGAACTGAATGTTTGAGACTTGCTGTTGAAATTTTTTTTGAGTGTTGTAGCGATGCTCATTTGGCTAAGATCATCGTTCCTAAATGTCTTGTCATGTATAACGTCTCCGCTGTGCAACCGAGTCTTGGCGTTATAAATGGTTAGTGAATTTTTGTTTTTGTCATTGAAATAATTTCCAAAAGTTTGATCCCCCAAACCAATGCTCTGAGAGAAACAAAGAGAAGACAAGCAAATATATAAAAAAAAAAAAAAAAATACACCATTAGGTGCTTAAACAAAAGAAAAAACTCTACACAGAGTTTTTGAAGATATATATGGCTTCATACTCCATTAGGTGAAGCCATTGCAGTTCATCTTGAGTATGTAGATGGAGAGGAGACAGCATCAACAAGAACGATATCAGTAAGCAACTTGGACCTCCACGAGCTACATAGGATTGAACCCGTCCATTTGTAGTGACACTAACAATGATCTCAGTTGCTACTCGATTTCCAACCACAGTCACTACTTCATCACAGCAGTGCTGGAAGCAGTTCAGTGCTTGCCGAACACGCTCAATAGTAATAGACAGCCCAAGAAACCAAGGTGGATTGTTCAGGACAGCTCACCGAACCGTTTACCATGAAGGTATGGACGGACACAATAGATTAGAAACTAAAGATTCCACGCACACCAATAGGGGCTATGGTAAAGATAAATTTCCAAAGAAAATAACCACACCAATAAGAACACCATCAATCTTCTGCTCCGGCATAAGTCTAACCAGGCACCTGACCGTTGAACTTCCAATCTGGAACACAACCAGATCCGGTGCAATACACATACACCAAAAAGAATCACTGAAAATGAGGTTGAGTTCACACACAACAACCACAACTAATACCATCGAACTCCTGTAACTGTTATCACCACCACCACTGCTTCTTTATATGAAGTGGAAATCCAATACAGAAACACATGGGAGAGTGAAGAAGAGCCACCAAAACCTTCAAAAGCCCGCTCAGCAACACACACAACCCATCACAGCTGACGAAGAGATCTAAACAAAAACCATAAAACTAAGCGACAAAAAGAGCAAAATGATGAAAAATCTGAAAGAGAAAGGGAGATCTGCCTCGGTATAAGCGACAAGTGCCACCGAGGGAAGAAACGAAGATCAGATCAGAGGGGTTTGAGTGTGGCGGCTGGAGAGAATTAAATGGTTAGTAACTTAGTATACAAATTCTTTTATGAAATGCACTATGGGTATACATGGCCTCACCCTATGGGTATTTGATATGGAATCTTATCTATTAAAATAGGACTGCGTCAGAGTGAGTGTATATAATTAAAATATAAAATTTTAGTATTGACGAATTTAAAATTTACATATGATTGTTTTATATGTATTTGGAATTTTAGATTTTTTATATAATTATCTATACGTAGGATCAGAAACAATTGTAATTAGAACTGTAGATCAAAACCTAGAATTTAATGGGTGCGGTTCATATATCTTTTCACTTTTTAGTATTTGAGTGATGGAAAATAAACGGAGTGTCACAGAACTTAATTGGTAAAACATTATCAAGTTCCCTAATACTTTCTTAAGAAGCAGTTAGTAGAATGTTTCCATTTAGAATATATAAAGTTTCAAAACTAATTTAATATAATTTATTTATTTATCTAATAATATCAGAAAATTATATTTTTAAAAACCTTTTTTAATTAAAAAAAATTTATAAAAAAATTAAGTTAAAATTTAAATTATAATTATAATTATGTTTAAAATAGTATTATTTATTCATACGATATGAGATATATATATATATATATATATATTAACATAAACACCTATTAGAATAAAATTATTTATTCATATTATTTTATAATCATTGTAATTTATTATAAAAAAAATTAGACCTTGATCTCAAAAGTTTATGTGAGATTTTTGACAGTTTTAGTAATTTATACTCGTTTTGAAAATTTCAAATACAACATATATGAAAAATCTAAATTTTTATTATATGATTAGTGTAGTTGTGTAATTTATTTGAATAATAAAAAATAAACAAAAATGATATAAATTATACATATTGTTAACACATCTTTATTATTTAAAATCATTAATAGTCATATATATCTTAATCACATTATGTAATTCTGTAGGTTTTATTTAAGGAAAGAATAAATAGGAGTTCTAATTTGATATGTTATTTAGTTTGATATGTCTTATATGAAACCAATGGACCATGTTTTACAACTATACTACATATGAGATGCTCTAAAATCCTTCTAAATTGAAATAGAAGGCATAGAGGAGTGCCACGTAGGATGGGTTATTTTTTAATTAATACAAACTTAAGGTTACAACTTTTCAAATGTTTCTCAATTAATATATAGGGGATTATGACTTATTTCACATGTGATTTTTTAACGTGGACCATCTTTAAAAACTTTACTAGATTTTGACCCGCGCTTGAGAAGCGCGGGTTTTATTTTGGTTGTAACAAAATGTATCAAATGATTCTATTTTTATTATATGATAGTTTTATATGTGAAATTTGATGTATATTTAACATTTTAGTAGGATCTTTTCATTGAGTTTTGCATAACTAAGTCAGTTTGTGGTTGAACAGAGAATCAAAAAAATTAAGTATTGTGAGAGTATAAAGAATTAAAACACATATTACATTTTGACCCGCGCTTGGATGGGTCCATGGCCAACACACTAAAACACATATCAGATTTTGACCCGCGATACTTATGCTGAGTTGATATGTATGATCCACCAGCGGTAGACATAGTGAAACGATCAATGTTCCTTCATACTCCAACACGAATATGTTTTGCCAATTCAAGAATGTATGTCTTGTTACACAAGGCATGGATCTTAGTTCCCTATATAAAAAAAAACATTATCATTTAGGTTAAACTTTTACAAAATGAAGATATCTAAATCATAAATCTATACAAAATGATAAACTTACATTTGCATCACAAAGAATTAGTTCCATGGTTTCCCCTATGTCTTTCATGAAATGTCTCCATGTATGAAGGATTTTGATTTGGATGCGATATGATGTCTTCCTCGGTTTTATATCGCTCAAGAAAGACAACTGCAAATTATTCGCCATTTTTGTTTTAGGTTTTTTCAAGGAATTATGAATATAGTGGCTAAGAAATGCTATATTTATAATAGGTAGAGACGATACACATTTAGCTTACGCAAATGTAGGACAGAATATTTAGAGGATTTTTTAAAATATCTCTTTCGAGGAATAAGGAATATTTCTTGAAGATATTTTGAAGTAGTTAGGAAGTTTAAATTTTAACGGTTAATGGTAATCCAACTCCGGTAAGTTACCGAAATTTATGGAATCCAACCAAAGAATAACTAACCATGATATTGATTGTGGTTAAACTATAAACTTGTAGGTGAAGGAATTTATTTATTTTAGTAGAAAGATAATTAGAAAATAGTATTTGCAATATCTTCTTAACAAAACGCATCTCGTCCGTTAAATGTCACCATGAGAATGATGATATATCGACATATTTGATATCATTATATGTCGTCTAACTATAGTTTATAAATACGGGTAAATTTTGTGAGACATGAAAACATATTTCATATATGATGAAAAACATGAAATGAAGGACATTTGATGGATTCTCCAATCTCAAATGTCTTAAAATGGAGGAGAAACATGAAATGAAGGACATTTGAATGGATTCTCCATTTTCAAATATCTTGAAATGGTTTTGAGGTATGAAATAAATGATAGAAATAGTGAGACATTAAAAAATGTTTGATATAAGAAGAGAACTCATGAAAATGCCGATATAGACAATATATTATATAATACATTAACAAATATCTACAACTATAACAAAATCTTAATATATGTAATATAAAGTGTAATATGAGTTTATAAAGTATAGTCTTTGAAATATAAGGTGTAGTACAACTATATGAAAATCATAATATATAAAATATAGCATCATATCATGGTTAGAGTAATCTGAATTTATAAAGTATAGTCTTTGAAATATAAGGTGTAGTACAACTATATTCAAATATTAATATATGAAATATAACATTATATCATGGTTAGAGTAATATGAGTTTATAAAGTCAATATATGATGCATATACCAAAAAATGTCAACCAAAAAATTATAATGTAATATGTGAGATTTTTCCTATACGAATTTCAAAATTAAAAAATTAAAATCTTAATAAATTTTCCCTGTAAATTTTGAAATTAACACATTTTATATAGTATATAATTTAGCTTAAATGATATTGATATATATATATATATATATAATATGTGATATAAACAGGGTATATTGGTTAGAGTAATTAATGGGAAGAGGGAGAATAAATCGGGTATATGTAATATTTGATATGATTTGTAACAAATCGATATATATATATATAGATGTAAGCCAAAAAAAATAAATTACCAAAATGTCATTAATGAGGGTGCAGACAACTTCCATCAGTCAATTTTTCAAGGGTGCCTGTACTTTTAATAGTATAGATTAATAATGATAATATATAGAACATTTGAACTACTTTAATCATAATATCTTTTGATATCTTTTTATTTTAAATACTCATATTAAGTCTAACAAAAGATTTTGACAATATATTATTTTTGATTATATGTAAATATTTTCACTAATTACGTCATTAGTTTAGATATGTATATATATATATATATATAGTAACATAAACACCTATTAAAATAAAATTATTTATTCATATTATTTTATAATCATTGTAACCTATTATAAAAAAAATTAGACCTTGATCTCAAAAGTTTATGTGAGATTTTTGACATTTTTAGTAATTTATACTCGTTTTGAAAATTTCAAAATACAACATATATAAAAAATCTAAATTTTTATTATATGATTAGTGTAGTTATGTAATTTATTTTAATATTAAAAAATTAAAAAAATGATATAAAGTATACATATTGTTATCACATCTTTATTATTTAAAATCATTAATAGTCATATATATCTTAATCACATTAGGTAATTTCGTAGGTTTTATTTAAGGAAAGCATAAAAAGGAGATTTAATTTGATATGTTGTTTAGTTTGATATGTCTTACATGAAACGAACGGACCATATTTTAAAACTATATTTTATATGAGGTGCTTTAGAATCCTTTTAAATTGAAATAGAAGGCATAGAGAGGTGCTAAGTAGGATGGAGTTATTTTTTAATTAATACAAACTTAACGTTACAACTTTTCAAATGTTTCTCAATTATTATATAGAGGATTATAACTTCTTTCACATGTGATTTTTTTAACGTGTACCATCTTTAAAAAAATTATTAACAATGATAATATATAGAACATTTGAACTACTTTAATCATAATATCTTTTGATATCTTTTCATTTTAAATACTCATATTAAGTCTAACAAAAGATTTTGACGATATATTATTCTTGATTACATGTAAATATTTTCACTAATTACGTCATTAGTTTAGATATATATATATATAAGTCTAACAAATCTTTTGAAATATAATTTAAAAATATCTTAATTTCAAAACGTTTATGTAAATAATTTCACTAATATCGTAATTAGCAATGAACTATTATTATGCATTAATATATTCGTTTACCGTTATAAAATAAAAAAATAAAAATTATATCCTATTTTTATGTATTATGTTATCATAATAAATCATATAAAAGGATAATTATTATATTGAGGTAAATCTGATAGAATTATGTTAATTTGCTAAATTTATATATATTAATTTTCATAAGTATAAAATATTTATGTTAAAAGTTATAATACGTTGATAAAATGGGCTAAAATTAGCAAACAATATAATAAATGTATAAAATTAACATATTTTAGACTTTTTTATATATAATAATATATTATCTTATAGAAACAAAAGTAATAAATATTGCTAAAAGGAAATACAACTTTGAAATACGGGTCTGAATTTAACATAGCTTGAATACAAATTAATTTTGAAATATGTTGTTTCATGCATATATTAATTGTTTAATAACTAAATG